CGGTCTTCAGAAATTGGAAACTGTTTTTCAAATGATTTCCACTCCCATTGTACGCAACTTTCATGGTGCAACCTGGGTGTCTCAGCGAACCGTAACGGTAACATAAATAGAGCCGCGAAAATGGCTTCTTTTGCAAATTCAAGTTTTCGCGCGTTAAAACGCAAATGCAAAAGAAAATAACAAGCCTGCTGACAGGTAACATTACCAGCACTTTAGTGCGAATTTCAACAACGATATATTCCTTTCGGTGCTAGGAGCTTGAGGCCGTCGAAGCTCTGGAAGAACCATAACATTGTCAGCTGGTGTTGAGCGACTCATTCGAGATACCAAAGCCCAAATGCGCTGCGGCTATTGGAAGGTTGTGTGGGCAAGTACTTGGCGAAAACTGCTCGCGGGACCTCGATACGTCGGGCACAACGGAAGTGCCCAATTATTGAACGCAATTGACAGAATTACACTTGACGGAATCGCTCCGTCATTGCCGTCATGACGGCTATCAAACTGCAAATACAAGTCTTATTAAATGACAATTCTGTGTGCGTTCATTGCAAGCTTTTCGCGCGAAGTGATGCACTTCGCGAGGTGAAGTACGACATTAAGCAAAGCACTGCACATGATGCACGCAAGCAGAATCTGCCAATTCAGTAGCAACCCATTAAGCTTCACAGAATAGCTGTGGAAGCACACCTCAAACTGTCTCTGCTCTTTGGAGGAGGATTGCTGCATCCGCTGCTTTTTCAATGACAGGAAAAGATACAAGGAGGAGAACGGGTAACATGTGAGATGGATTTCAATCGCAGGTTCAGTCCTATGGACAGACATCCAAACCCTTTGATAGGGATCCCTGCGCTATGTACAGGGTCTTGTATATCATCTTATCTTGCACATGAATTTACAAATCCACAAAATTTTAGGTAATTTCTTCCCTCCGCTTTCATGGCAAGGCGGCTGTTGCCCCCCGCTCCCTTGGATGATAGCACAGGCGTCCAAATTCGAAAGTTGAATTCTGATCTTCGGCCGAAGACGCTCCCCGTTTTTTACACGTTCGAACTTTACTCTGACGGCAAGAAAATGCTACTCTTAAACAAGGGAGATTGATGTCTCTTTACTTGGGATTATGGGTGGCATCGTATGGATCTACTGTTTCCCAGCGAGAAAGCATATCTTCCGCAGTTACAACACCATTTCCGTCGACACTCCTATGTCGCCTTTGGCCCAATCTGATTGCCACAGAATCGTGACTAGTCTTTTCCGCTCAAATCGCTACTAACTATCCCACCAAATGCACTGAGGAATCCAGTGGTCCTGAGAATGGTGAAGTCATCCATCGCATCATCAGCGACGTCACAATGTCACAAGGCGACACTGCTGACGTCAGTGGCTCTACCATCCGTACATGCTCATCCGTATACCGGCATCTCTGGTATAGTAAACCTGCATCTCCGACGCCCATGCCGTCATCGGTGGTGCCAATTACTTCACCCTTTGAGCCCGCAGTCGCGGCACGGCGTGGCGCCGGGGGACTGCACAGGGTGACAGCAAGGTAGCTTGTGGGGCAAGGGGTAGAAGGGAGGCGCCGGGCAGAGGATGGCCGCGCAGACCTTGCCGCACTCCAGGCTTAGCGGACGCGGCACGCCGCCCCTCTGGCAGCAGAGCTTCGCGCAATCTAATCACGCGGCGAACAGAAGTTGCGTTTAGAGGCGGCACATAAATACAGTTGTCTGTACATTGACGGACAAAAGCAGCAATAGTTTAAATTGAATTGAGTGGCCTAATTGAATCAGTATGCTCGTGTTGCTGATTCCAATCTAGTACAGCCTCACTGCGCTGCGCTTCGCCGGCAAGGGTCGTGGAGCGCTGTCAAATTCGAGGCGGCGATTGTCTCAGAGATATTGTGAAGCCCCGCATCCTACTGCTAGGTGTGGTCAGCTGCCGCAGCCTATTGTTTGGTGGAATCAAACTTCGGCGGGTGCCTTTTTCCATGACTTTCACCGAGAATTAGGCCAACAACACAACTGGCAGCTATTCTTGACAATCAGCACTGCTCAAAAGCAAAAAAAGATGCATAATCTCTGCCACGCGATGGACGCGATCATTGAAAGCGACGTGGAATGCGCTATCCCGACATCGCCAGCAAGGCGTAAGGTTTGTCATCTGTAGCCCTGTTTCACAACTGCAATCAAATATTCAGGCCACGCCAGGTCAGAGGTTGATCTCACCGATGCTGGGCTTAGGCCATGCCCGCCACGGCCACCCTTCTTTGGCCGGGTCCCTGCAGGCGTGCCCACAGCCGTTGCTGCAGCACTTCTGGCTCCCGGGGCAGCTGTCGTCGCCCGAGCACCTCTCGTCGCACGTACCGTATTCGCCGACCGTCGAGGGGCAGGATCCGGGCTTGTCGTATGCGCGGCCGCCTGTTTAAACAGCGAAATTTCGAATAATTTTAAAGAGAAGAGATTTCGAGAACACCCGCAAGTTCCATGGGATCCACGAAATCCGCAAATCGCAGTGCGAACGACCCCACACGACATCGTTAATTAGACACTCAATTTTGAATGTTTATAATTATCGTTTAGGAATGAATTAGACATTTATGTTTAAATGTTAAAAATATTACGTATCCGCGGCCGCCTGTTTCAACAACACCCGTCCATTGCGCGTGGTCCGCACAAATCCACAAATCGAAGCGCGACCGATTCCGTGGGGCACTGTCTGAAGGTTCCCCGCGCGCTGGAAATCTCATTTGTCATGTAACGTTTTCGTTGTCACGGTGCGCGCTGCGCCCCGTTACAGCCCCCCATCTACGCCTGGCCTGCGCGCCATTCCGTAGTGTCACCGTTCTGCACAGCCGCACGGACAGCCGCTGTCCATGCGATGATGTCCACGGCGCTCCGCGGAACCGCTCGGATCCGAGGATGCCACTGACGTCCGGTGCTCACACAACTCCACCAGCCGTACGGCACACGCACTGTACAATCCCCGGCGCTGTTTCCGTAGGACGCCAACAACGCATATGCTCGAATGCTGCCAATGCTTCGCTCATGACGGCTTGGGCCCCTAAGCCCGGAGGGGCCACGTTGCCTTGTTTTCTTGCACGCCTACAGGCCAACGAGCCACGGTCCCGAGCACCCTTGCAAGGAGAGGCAGCGGAGGGAGGAAAGGGCAACGAAGCAAGGAAGGGCCCAGGACACCGGTGGCTGTACATTGACGCACGTGGAGGGATGAATGCTCTCAAGTTGCGCGCAAGGCTTGCACTCAACCGGGCCGATCGACGCCCAAGGTACCCGAGCGTGCGATCTTCCGAGGTCACGCGTGGACTCGGAAGTCCAACGCCAAAACGCCGGACAACTGCACATTGCCGCGTTGGGAGTACATACCCTGCACAAACTATCGCACGACTTGTTCAACCTCGGCAAGCATTCATGTCGGCAAGCACACCTGGCAGGGCGCAGAGGAGGACGGCCGCCACCACAAGAGCGGCGATGGGCCGCCAGGACATCCTCATCGTCAGGTTAGCTGCTCCTGCCGCTGGGCGCGCGAGGCCTGGAGCACCGATGCAGTCAGTAGCTCGGGGCTGAGCGCCTGGAAAGGTGGCCGCAGGAATCAAAAATCAGAAACGCGCGGCTGTGGCGTTGCGTGTGCTGGCCAGCAGTTGGGGCATCGATGAGTCCAAACGCGCCCTCCGCCTGGTCCCAATGGGCGGTGGAACCGCATAGCTTTGTCGAGATCGAGCCCGGAAATCGGCATCAGCGATTGCGTTCCCCACCCACCTGCCGGTTGGCTATTCGCCGTCCCCGTCCAGGCGGCCTGCGCAGTGCCTCCCGCGGACTGTGGGCGCCGGGTCTCTTGCTGCCACGGCCGTCGGCCCCGCCGAGGGGATATAGGGCCGCCTGACGGGGGGTACGCGCAATGTACTGCGCCCACGTGATGCCGGGCCCGGCCTGCGGCCTCGGTACAGCGGAAAGCTGCGTCATCAACAGAAACCAAAACGTGGGACGGGTGTGCGTTGATGGGCTTGAAGGCAGGTCATGCGAACTATTGGTCGCGCCCACAGCTGATTTGTTTCATACGCGACGCGCAGCTCGAGGAATCGACCGACGAGTAAAAGGCTGCATGGAAAGGAAGGGTGTTGGGAACCCACCAGCTCGTTGTGAACTTCCCAGAGGAAGCGCACGCGGAAGAAGACAAACATGGTACGATGGGCTACCCCTCGCCAGAGTAACCCCATGGAACCGCCACGTGTGTAGCAGATTTCTGTTGTGTACTCCGCGTGTGTCTAGTGCATCGCTGAATGCCCCGCCGTCCCGGGCAGTCCCTGGTGCCGACGAGCGCTGCACTGTACAACGCATTTGGTAGAGCACCGGGGCAGGTACGGTGCCGCTTCCGCCCGCGCAGTACTGGCCAAACTATTGAGAGCACTTGCACGAAAGTGTGTTCAAAATCGATCAACGGATCAGTCGTTGCGTCAGGAAGCAGGGATGTCAGGAAGGCGCCAGCTCCCTGCGAGCTTCCCGAGAGAAGCGTGCTCAGTACTTTGGCCAGTACTGCTGAAAGAACGCGGGCCTGTATCAGAGGAATAATGAAATGAAGGTGTGGTGGTGGTGCGCGAATCTATCTGCTGTACGGAATCGTGGAAGAATCGAATCGTCAAACGATCCGGTCGTCAGAAAATCGAATGGCCACAGTACAGCGATGGGTGGCAGCTGCCAGGGGCTGTTGGAGGTCGGTGCCATCGGTCGACGTGGGGGGTCGAGGGCGGGTGCACGTGGACAAACGTACTACATGGTATATTGGTTGGTATGTATCCCAACAAGTGCTTTGTATCTGTGTCTCAAGCATGCTATTGTCCTCATCTCTACCAGTGTTTTCCGTGTTGTCGTTTTAGTCATCAAGCGAACCAAACCAAGTGTGATGCACGACATACAAAGCACAAATATTGGCGAAAAGCAATAATCATACATTCAACAATGACGTTGTTATCGAAATATCACTTAGATAGCACTCTAACAGAGGCGGACGCCATCACCGCGAATCATGGGTCCACTACACACGGTTGTCAAGCCTCCAGGGAAATCCGGGCTGCGTCGCTTGGGTTCTATGGCCTTTTTGATACGAGTCTGCTTTCGTACTAAGTATTTTATTTGAAGGGTCAAGATCATGGTCCTGTGCACTCCTATGCTAGGAATCCTCACATGCCTCACTGCGACCCCACGGGAGCCCTTGTGCGTTCCATACTGTCTTGAGAATTTCCTTCGAGGTGCATTCAGGAGTTGGAGGCCAACATTTCCCTGCAATCCAGTGACGACATTTGTGCTTTCGAACTTCGTTCCCATAAATGCATGCGTTCGCTTGCCAACTGCAAAGAACTGCCAACTTTTTGCTTCCTGCTTATTGAGTTCCTGAAACGAAAAGGCATGCAAAGGTAAACAATGACGGGCCCCACGTCTCTGGCACAGGGCCCGACCAGGCTCACAGATGGACGAAATCAAAGCGAGTTCACAGACCAAAAGCTTGTATTACCAGGCAACATGCTATTCCACCATTTCTTGAGCAGCCGCAGCCCCCTGCACAGCAGCTCTGTCCTCTGGAGCCAATCCCAAGCGCAAATCAGGACGTCATTCCCCGCCCCACGTACGCATTTCAGGCGTTTGGACACCCGTAGATATAATGCAGCCAGGGTGCGTTCCGAGACCCAATCACCAACCGTCCATCCATCGATCCTACATTCCTACGAGCCCCTGGAACCCCTCCCCATATCCCGTCCACCCTGTCCATCCACAGCCAATCCCAACCTAAACCCAAATCTGCATGTCACACACAAGAACCAGCCAGTTCCTTTGCACACCGACGGGAGCGACGGGCGTGTCTCACTACCTAACCGGCCATCTTCGCCTTCTTCACTGCCAGCTCTTGCTCCCAAGCATCCCTGTGCTTGTGGTACAAGTACAGTGCTGCTCGCGCATCCTCCACGGGGTTGTGCTCACCTTCCTGGATGGACATCCCGAGCTCTGAAAGGGCAAGCTTCTTGAGCGACACAGTCTCAAAGATGCCTCCAGCGGACCTCATCAATGGACGATACCTGGGCAAACACAAAGCTTACTTTAAGTATCCGTTTGTCATTTACTGTGCTAGCAAGTTTGAAATTTTAGTCGACAAGTACAATGTCATTTTCTGCAAGGAGCAGCTGTTTGAGTGACACTGTCTTGTGGATGCCACCAGCAGCATCGTCAGCGATCAGCACCTAATCCAGTTCAGCTTCACACAACAAATCAATGAATTACAGTTGACTTGACACCGACAAATGCACCCTACTTCTGTTGGAAACGTGCCTGAGGTATGGTCAGTGGAGGGCAACTATTTGGTTAAACTGGGCAGTGGACTGGGGAGCTGTCCAGGGCTGACTCACACAACATCTTGTACATGTTTGAGATTTGGCTGTTGGTCACACACTGTTGGGATGGATTGAGGGCAGTGACAGTAATCAATATCTTCACAGCCCTTCCACCGGATGGGCGATGCTGGTCTGCCTGGCACAGCGATGGGCTAGCAGGGCAAAATATGCCACAACCAGCCCATTTCAGACAAATGCGCTACAGCTCCAGCACTCAACGACACAGGTAACAGAACCCTGTTGCCAAGAATTTTGTTCAGAGCACGCAAGGCCAGAGAGTCGTGATCAACATTGCAGCTGGCATTGGTGGTGCACTCCATCCATTTGTTTGATGCAGGACGAATGTGCTGTAGTTTGTGCCTACCACCATCAACTGAAGTGTTCCACTGGTTTGCGCCATTCCCAGATACTGCTGGGTATGCATTTTTGGCTGCTTTGCTATCAAGTGCAAGCCCATCTCCACACTTCATAAATGTGGCATTATCTTGCAATGCACTGGAAGATGCTCATTTCCGCATCTTACCAACAACCTGGAGACGAGGCACTGCCTGTGCTGCATTCTTTCACAGAACAAGAGTGGGAAAGTCAAATCCAGTACTTTGGCACAAGAGGCCTGCATTTGCTATACATTATCGTAATATACTCTGCAACACTGTACTCTGCTTTAATCCTGTGTGTATTTTGTACGTTAGCGCACTCTACCATACACTACTCTGTTACCAGTACTTCACTCACCGAGAAGTGTCCCTGACATCCTCTCTTGGGTGGTCGAAGCCCAGTGCCCGAAAGTCGTTACTTACTGCATGGCCCACAACCAGGCGGCCCTGGATGAGCTGTTGCACCTTCTTTTGCACTGTCTCCAACAGAGGGGCGTTCTTCAAGTTGTGGGGCCGTACACCACTGTAAGGGGTCCTATGCAAAGAAAACACATGATCGACTCAACCTTGCGGGGCAATGCTGAGGATTGTAATACCAACAACAAAAACTATAACCAGCTACAACCAGCAAGCAACAACAATGCACAACATCAGCCGAGAAAATTTGCATTCGATGATTCAGTTAATGCTAATCGAAGGAATGAATGCGTTGTCTGGTAATTTCAGTCTAACCTGCCTAGGAGGAATGACAGAGAAGCAAGAACTGCATGCAGCTGTTGCCGGATCTGTCTTACAATTGACAATGCCAAGATTTGCCAATCCCGAATTCGCTGATTTGCCAGCCATAGTTCGATGCAACAGGAATGCATTGAAACAGTGCACAGTGGCCAGTCTGCACAGGTGGCTATCTGACACCTGATAGATCAATGGATTTTTATAGACAAACTGGGAAAGAGACAAGGGCACACAGTAGTGAATGGCGCAACCTCATCGACATCTAACATCAACACACCTACAACTGATGCAAAGAACCATTGAACAGATGTTGAGATGGCACCACGCAGCACCAAGCAGCAACACATAGTGACTACTGTGTCCACCAAAGGCATTGACCTGAAAACACTGGAAACGAGCAGAACATACAAGAACAATAAGCACCAAGCACAGAATGCAACAAAAAGGCAAAAACTGTACCTCCTGCTGGAAAATGTCCAAGTACGTAATCATGGACTTCCGTCCGTGGCACCATCCTAAGATGGCACTGAGACAAGGAGTGCCACCCACCTGAAGTCCACCACCCTGCCCTCTGGCCTGGCAAACGAGTCCAGCAACACGTCCCCCTTGTTGTCCACAACCCCCACCCATGCCGCGACCTCCTTCACGACCCTGTCGCTGCCCATCGCAGTCACCATCTCACAGTCCAGAGCCACCACCCCCCTTGCCGCGCCCAGCGTCTCTTCCCACAACAGTGCTGCTGCTGTGTCGCCCTTTGCCTTGCTGGTGAAGAACAGTCCAAAACCACAATGCTATGATCAGGTCGAATTGATGCTTCCATGGGGACACTTGAAGATCCCTTCACAAGATGGATTCGGACAGACAATTTGCAACATTGGAGAGCCATGAACAAAACAGATGTACATCTGTCCACCTGCTTGCACAATTACAGATCTGTACTAGTACATCTCTAATCTCTTCACTGTTCAGCAATGGTGAATGGCTAGAACAGCACCATAGTGAAGATACAGTCTGACCTTGACAGACAGCATTGCGCTCTAGAAATATGCAAGTTTCACATATGTTAACATAGCTTAGACAGGCGATGGCTACATTGAAATGGTCATTCATTTGCCAAGTGCCTTCACCATCCAGGAACGCACCCAGGGGCCATCAAACGCCTCCTCTTGCTTCGATCGTCAAGGGCAGCCGGACTACTCAGCCTCTCCGCCTTCTCTGCATCCAAGGCTCTCTTCAGGTTGGCCCAGTTCAAGCTCACCTGCTGGCCCCTCTTGGGTGGGCCCTTGGGTACTGCCACCCCGGCAGACCCTTGATCGCCTTCCTTGCCCACCCTCCTCTTCCTCTTCTTCTTGTGCTTCTTTTTCTTTCCCAAGTCTGCCATGTCCTCAATCGGATCCCCAGCATCAGTTTGTGCCATGCCATTGCACAATGCTGCTGCGCCCATTTTCGGCTTGCTGTCCTGCTCCCGCACCCATAGTTTCTTAGAAGAGCCAAAAGAAAGAGCATCTTATCTATGGTTTGAGGGAAGATTTTAGATCTTTGATTCTGTTTTTATTTTTCCCGAGCGAGACTCCTGCGAGCTTTGATTCTGAAGTGATCTCTCGAAAGCGACGAGTGAGCCCGATGGTTGACGCCTTTTTCAGGCGTGAGCTCTCCACATCCGATCCGAAGTTTGAGCGATCCGCCATCTGTGCTTGTCCATTGTGGACACTCTCCTCTTCTGCCGCATTTTTCTCATTTCTTGCTGTGCGTTTCTTGCTCTTCTTTAGGCGGCCGTACATGTGCTGTGATGCCATGCTTCTGGCCAGGGCATCTACCCTCAGCCACCTGATGGAAAACCATCACACTTCAGCACACATGGTGATGTTTCGTACATATTCCTTGGAGCTTCCCTAGTAGCTTTCATCATGAAAGCTACTAGGTGATAACCACCATGATGGTGGTTATCATTCGATTGCACCCATGGACAAATCATGCCCCGACACCCATAAGACGATGATGGGCAAGTGCATGTAGCAGAGTTCGCTCTTTAAGCGTAGTGATCACGAGCTACTGACATAGACGTCGACAAGCTGCTGGCATAGTACAGCACACCCTGCAGTACCCTAGAGTACCTGGCTGGGTGGCAAAGCCAGCAACAAGCTCAGCATCCATCCCCAGGGAAACAACATTAGGCAATTTGTGAAGAAATCTCCCGAATTGATGGCCAGATTCTGTAGACAGGGTGTGTAGGTAGTTCATGCATATTCTGGGCCACGAAAGCAGACACCAACAGTGCCAGCCATCGCCTTGTGTGAGTTCAGCAGTAGCGTACAAAAGAAGGGAAAATGGCAACTTCAGTAGCAAAATGCCGCCTATTGTGTGAGATCATGGCTGTGCCCTGTTGCACATTTCATGTGGGTATGAGTAATGCAGTTGCTCATGCAACATTTGATCGGCGCAAGCACTGGACTAAGTTTTTGGGCAGCAGGGAGGCATTCTTCAGTTAACGTTCTTTCTCCCTCTGGGATGCCAGGTGAAATTTCTTCCGGCAACTACCAATGGCTCTGAGTGGTACTGAGGGAGGTGGATGGTACTGATGGAGGTGGCGGTACTACACTGGTGCATTTGAGCCAACTGAAATGGACAGACACCATCAAAAGCTGGACCTGTGCAACCTTGTACATGGAAACAACCTTACATCAAAATGTGCAATGTGTCCCCTCCCCTCTCGTGCACTGAATGAAGCACAAAAGACACTTGCTGCTGTACCCCTCAGCCAGCTACAACACGGTCCTTGGCTAGACCCTGTGAGCCACAAGGCCCATAAACCAAGTGACAGATCCGCAAGTGCATTGCAGACAATTCAAATAAGAGTTGCACAGAATTGTGGAAAGTTGAGGGAATCTTGAGACCCACACTCCTCTTCTGCTCATACGCAATGGAGCAGCCCAGCTGGGCATCTGAAACACAACCTATTCATGCATTTCGAACCAAGTTTTGAGATGAAAACTTGTTGACTGTTGGGAATAACTAGGACAATCTTCATTGTCCATCAGGAGTAGGCTATTGTCATGCTTCCCATTGGCCAACCAGTCAGCAAGTGAACGCGATTCATCTTGGTGGAGCTTATCAAAACTTATAGCTATATATAGCTTATCAAAACTAACAACCACCCTTCTGCCCGTTGGGCGACCTCAGGGGCTGCTTGCTAAGGCTGGTGTGGGCCTCCAAGAACAGGGATACGTGTGACTTACCTAGAAAAGCAGACACAGTGTTCTCTTTGCTGGCCCACAATCTGACACTAAAAATGGGGCCTAGTGTGGGAAACATGCATGAATGGACCCAGTCGAATGGGCTTTTGCCCACCCGAAATGGCCACATTATCCGTCTGATTTCTGCACCCAGGCTCCACACGTGACCGCGCCCCAGGCGCACCCTTGTCCAAATTCTGTTAAACCGCAATGGACGCAACTTAATGCGCGGCAAGCGGGGCCCACAGCACCAAACCAACCTTGGGCGCAAGTCCCTCCCCAGGGCAGCCCTTACGCACAAAAGAGATCAAATGGAAACGATGCGAACGGCGTGCTGGCAGCCCCAATGTCGACGGGTCTCATCCCAAGCAGGGACACCGCAGGCCCAGCCGTGGCAGCAAAGGCCGCGTTACCCATTCAAACTGGACTGTGAATCCTAAACGACGCCAAAAATTTGAGCTTCCAAGGCACCCAGAAACGGTTCATCGCGCATCAGAGCGCAGATTGGTGACCAATCGCCCGTTCCCCCCCACCCCCAACCCCCACCCGCACTTGGGGACTCGAGGAGTCTAAACCAGCGGCCCAAACTGCACGGCGACGGGGCGAGGTTTGAGGACGGCGCTGCCCTGATCCGTGGGGTGGTGACGCCCAAGCAGTTGATTTCCGGGCGGTCGCGGCGCGCGGGAGGAGCGCTCACCTGTGCGGCTGCGGCTCTCGTCGTGCGGCGGCGTCCTCGAAACTCGGAGGGCCGTATTGAACAAAGTACAGGCAACTAAAAAGCAACAGAAAAATCAATTCAGAAATTATTTCTTAATTCAGCAATGGAATATCTAAATATCACCCCATAATAGCAATGCATTTGTGTTGAATATGCGTACATAACTAAGTTCCATATGTGCATGTGCGCTTGTGATTGCGGTAAAGGAGACGATTTGTCAAGAATAATGGATATAATGCCAGACAAGAACGTCCAACTCAGCAAGACAATTGGACGGACGTGATAGGGATCTCTGTATTTCTGCACCATGCATTGTCCGTGATGCCGTGCTCTGTGGATCATCATTCCCTTGAGACTTTAGATCACATAGCACATTCATTGTTGTTCGGGGCACTAATAATGGGGACATTACCTAATAATGAAATGCAACCCTCAGTTGTGCGAAGCTAATACCCTGTGCGGCCCCAAAAGACCACATAAAGGGACTCCAGTACGGTGGAGCCTTGGCCATTGGGTGACAGTACCTTGGAAGGGGAATTGCATGGTCAAGAGGATCGCCAGTCACAATCGGGCCACGAGGTATAGTAACTATGCCCTGATTGGGCGACAACATCCGTGGAAAGCCCACGTAACCCCGCACAACTAAGCATCCCAGATAGGGAAGCACATCCAGAGCATCAGGCCCCAGAGACACCTATGCCTCCCCCTGGGAGTCCTCGCCCCCGATTTACAGAAGGGGGCAACACCCTTGTTCAGCGACCGTTGCCCTGACTTCAGGGGTCAGACAAGAAGAGCTCTGTGGTGTGCAATCAGAGCAATACCCATTGATGTGCTGGGCAACTCCGATTGGAACCATGGGACGGTGATAAGGGGACCCAGTTGCATGATGGCGAGGGTAGTACGTGCAGGCTCGTCTCTTTCCTGCCGGTGGACTTCAACCACCTCCCCTTGGCCTTCACTCCGCTCGCGTTGTTTTTAGCCAGAGGGGCCTGTATATCTTTGCCCCAATTTGGATGGCTATAAGCCAAACTAACTGGTCATGGTGGCCTTGACGTTCGTGCTCAGTAAGCAAGGCTGAATCCAACAAACTGAGTTGGTGGGTTTATGGATGAGGGGGTGCCTATTGATCTAACCAGTGAAGGTTTGCGGCGGAGCCCGAGGGAAAGAGACACACCAATTTGGAGCCCTAGGTTGGGTGGCGGGGCACGATGGGGAGTGGCGGGCGTTGGGAACTAGGGAGGTGGTGTTGGGGGATGGCTTAATAGGGGGATGCAGATGAGTGCGGGGAAACTTTCCCCTTTAAGGTGGAGCATCAGGGATATTGGTGGTAGTATCGGGCGCTGTCACATTTCCTTGTATGTTGCGAGTGCCGTAGAGAGCACAATTGTTGAGTTGACTATAGGGCACCTTGCTGGAGGGTTATTAGAGGGTTTAGAGTCATGCGCAACCATATGGGTAAAGTGGTGGACATACAGATTCCATGCAAAGGCACCAATCTATAGCACTTGGCACATGAAAGGATTCCAGACAGTTGTACCCCGGGATGAAGCCGGGGCCCCCGGCAAGCACAAAGCAGATCCTGGAGTGGAGGCGAGTGCAAGCCCTCCAAAACATCAACAATGTAAAGGATTTCGCTGATCAACTAAAGGAATTCTAGACTACTCGGCTAGCAGTTCCGGGAGTCCAAGTCAGCTAGACGAACACATCGGGGGAAACGGAGGTTAATGGGCCATGGAGAAGGACCAATAACCTCTAGAGGGCTTTGTTGGAGGTCTAGGAAGAGTTGATGTGGGCGAGCTATTGTATCTGTGATACGGTCAAGCAGTCCATGACGGCCTTCCAGGCAACAGTGGGCATGGGGTTGCTAGCCCCTACAATTCAAAGCAAGTTCCTCATGCAATTTGAGGTTATGTGCTATATGAGCCTGAAGCTTGCATGGGCTACCACTTAGCAGGACGTGGAGACCTCTGAGTTGCATCGTCTAGAGAGTAAGCCGGTCATGTAGCGGGCGCCAGATCTGGTGAAAGAAGATATCCAGGATGCGCAAAAGTGGGTTGTAGGGGATTTCTTCCACAAGCATATTAACTTGCCCAACCTGGAAGACGCCTATTCACACGACGGGCATCTTCAAGCGCTGCTTGGCAAATGGAAGATGTTCATGAATCTTTCGCCTGGACCACCGAAATGTAATTTGGACACGCCTGCTTTTCAAAGAGCTATTGTGGGATGGAATGAGAGGGTGTAGACGAAGTGAACTTACGATGCAATGAAGGTGAAGATCCAGGTGTAGATTCATGGACACAAGCCAAGGCCGGATATCGAGCAAGAGCCCCCTCCCCGTGTGGAGAAGCATGGGTGAGGCTGGCGGAGGGGGAGGTAGCAGATGCAGACTGGAGTTGATGATGGGACAGCTGGAGCTGAGGCGGTAGA